TCTTTTCCTGGGTCAAGGAGAGACACTCTCAACTCCTCCAAGCAACAGGAGGGAGGGAGCCCGCATTGCAGATAACCCCTCACCCAGGTTAGAAAATTTCTATCCCAGCACTACTTCTGATGGCCTAAAACTGTGGCCATCAGGGTGGGCTGCTCTGTGCCTCCTGGTAGCCTTCAGCCTGGCGCTGCAACTAACCCTTCTCCCCTGCCAGTCACACAAGAACTCTGAAGAGAAGTGGCTCCAAGTCCCAGAAGGGTAGGAGGAGAAGAAATACCTCCAGCCATCACCCAACAGTTGTGGCTGGCTGTGGAGTGCAGTGCCACACACACTCACGTTCAAATACAAAATTTGGTTTCCAAACTGAGTGTTAGCTGTACCGGCCAGTCTGCCATTGAATCGGTAAATAGTAGGTGACTTTACAAAACGAAATGTAGTTTCAGATTCAAGAGGAGCCGAGTAGACTTGGTTGCTTTGCTCTACTCAGCTCTAGATTCCGCTGTGCAGGGAAGGCAGGCTCTCACCGGCCGCACTGCAGCTCCGGAGCCTCCGGAGCCTCCGTCGGCAGGCTGGAGAGACTTGCAGCTTGCTTTATTCGTTGCTGCCCTGGCCCTTCCTGCTTGCAAGCTGACTTGCTGGCTAGCATCCTAGGGTGGCAGCCCTTGGGAGCCATGGAGGTGGCGGGTGCCGGGCTCAACTCACTCCTCGGCTCCAGGGCTCCAGGGTGGTACCTGCAACGAAGTTACTGCTGGTGAGCGCCAGCGGAGGGAAGGGACCTACCAGCTGCATTGCCGCCAGGTTGGGGATAAGCACGTGCCTCAAGGACACAAGCAACTGCAAGCCGCAGATCCAGATTCGTTAGTGTATTTTCAAAGGTTTGGGAATTGAGAGGGAAAGCATGAGAAACCGATTCCCAGATCCCCCGTTTATTGCTCCCCGGTGGCCACAGCCCCAACACAGTTGCAAAAGCCCCCGGCTTCTCCGCAGGCAGTTGATCCCGCACAGGAGGAAGGAGTCCTTGGGAGCTTCTACTGCCTTCTGGAGAGCTAACTCCATCCTGGACTAAAACGGAGAGGACAAGGGAGTTCAGTCCTGGTCTCTCAGTGCTTTACAACAAAACAAAACACCTCCCCCCATGTCCTCGCTGTTGGCACTGCCAAGTATTCGGGCAAGTGGCAAATTGTCTCCTATACATCACTCCAGCAGGGACTCAGAAATTCAGATAGAGTCCCCAGGCAGCTGAAGCACCCTTGCAAGGATTGCTGGCTGCCGACGCAGGCCTCCAGGGTGTTACCAATGAAGAAGGGACAAAAGTTGCCCTGTGATCCAAAGAAGTCTGTTCTGAACATCTGGGGTTTGTTCAACATCTGATACAAGACTGTATTCCTGGGAAGTCTTGGTCGAATGTCCCACACCGCTGGCCCAGAAACCCACTTTGGAACCATAGGAACTGGTATTGGCCCTGGAAAGTTCCAAATCTTCATAGAGAACCCCTTGGATAGAAATTCAAGGTCATCCAGGTCACAATGAAGGTCCCCCCCCCCCCAGAGCTAGGAGGACAGACGGGCAAACGGGGAATGTGCAAATGACTCCTGGGTAGAGCACAAACACTGGAAGTCAGGTGTTGGGGAGTCACTTACTTGGGGCCATTTCGGAGGCCTGGGTGGGGGGGTTGCTTGAGTATTTTATACCCCATCCGGAGGACCAATCTGCAGGCAGGCTCCTATTTTTTTTTTTTTTTTTTTTTGCCTTCAGGAAGAAAGGTGACTTTACTCTCCACCCTGCTCGCCCAGCACCCAAGTCTCTGCTCTATTTTTTTTAACATCTGTGCAGTGGTAACCAACCACCACCCCCAACAAAGACACGACACGTAACAGGAGAACACCCCTCCCGTGGTGGTGGAGAGACCCTCATCCATCCTGACTTGGTGGCCCATGTTCTGGGGTAGCATGGGAACTGGTGGTATGATTGAGATCCCTCTAAGGACACCTCCAGCTCCCCCCCCCAGCCTCACCCCCAACCCGGGGAAGCACACGTGGCAAAGGAAGGAGCAGCGCTTCTATTTTCTTTGCTGCTGCTGCACAGGCACCAGAAAAAGGGGGACTGCGCCGCCCGCAAGCCCGCCTGCCCGTGGAGGAAGCTGAGTGTCTGGAGTGGTGCATGGAAGAGTTTCATGAGCGCAGGGGAAAAAGAGGGATGGGTGACAGGAAACTGTGGCAGCGGGCAGGCATGTCTAGCAATGCTGCACAAGGTGTTGCAGTAAATCTCTGCTGGGGGGGCGTGGGGGGGTGTACTGAGAAGGTTAAAGACTCGGTTTTGACCCCTGTACCTCTCCAGAGGCTGGCTTCCTCTAGGAGACCTGGGACAGGGTATGGCTAAGCCGAGGGGCCTTGTAGACCTAGTAGTGGGCAGGAACTTAGGGACTTAGAGTTCCCTAAGTGACTGAAGACCCTCCTTCTGGTCCTTCTCCAGTCCCCAGAAGTGACCCGTTCTGGTTCTACAGCCTAGATGAGGATGGAGCATGGTAGAAACGGGTGGGGGGTCTCTTCTGTAGCATACCCACCCCCACCCCACCCCGGACTTGGCAGTATTTAGCGCTTGTCCAGCACAGGGGGCTATTTGACCAACCCCACACACACAGAGAGCAAAATGGGTATCCCTTCTCACCAAAGAGCTCACGGTCTCCAAATTCCCCAGAGCCTGACTCAGTCAAAACATGGTTCTGAAAACATTTAGCAATAACCATTCCCCCTCACAGGACCTCCACTTGGCCATACTTGTTCCTCTGCGTGTCGACCCCCATCCCGGCTAAAATTTTTTCTCAGTGGGATGGAGGTACAGTACTGTTTCCCAAAGGGACCTGTGTCTGATTTTCCTTGCTTTTCCACTCTCGCTGAAAAATTCCTCCATGTCTGACCTCTCAGCTTTTAAGTCTGACCACGCGGGGGGCAGGGCCTGGCCAGGGCCAGGGCCCGTGGCCTTTCAAGACCCGGAGGTCCTGAACTGAAGAGTCACTGCAGCAGCACCTGGGGGTTTCCATGGTCAGGAAGGAGTCAGCCTTGGTTCCCAGCTTCCTCCCCCAGGCAGCCCCCACCCCCAGCTCAGAGGGTGGTGACCAAGAGCCCTAAAGACTGCTATTGCCAGTTCCTCACACATTCACCGGCAAAAAGGCCAGCTCTCAGCTTTCATCCTAGGCTGATCTAGTCCATTCTGGCCAGAACTCTGTGTCCTGAGCAGAGAGGGGGACCAGGAGGGCTCCAGAAAACTCTAGAACGCCAGCCACCGCCAGCCCGCCCTAGAAGAAGTCAGGCCTTTCTGACCTGGTGTGGGGTGGCCCTCTGGCAGCCTCCAGGACTAGAAAGAAAGATGCCTGACTGGGCTGGAGTAGGGGAAGGGCAGGGCCCCTATGTAGCAGAGAGCTTTTCACAGGCATCATCACGACTTCCCAGGTGTTCTCCAAATCTCCTTTGAGGTTACAGGTGAACAAGGTGACCTTGGGCCCTCTCCAACGTTGTGGTGCGTTTGCAAGTCCGGTCACAGGTTAAACCCACAGGCCAGAGGCCACTGGGGCTCCTACTGTCATACCACCCCGTGGGAGTGAGCAAGATACAGGGTCCTCCAAGACGCACAGGAGCTGCAACACTGCCTCAGTCAGCGATGGAAGCTCCTCACACCAAGACCTCCCGAGCCTAGAACTATAAACGCAGTGGATCTGTGACTCAGTCCAGGTAAAGACTGAGAAAGGGACGAGAGTGAGGCCCTTCTACAACCGGGCCTCCATCTCAGCAACCAGCTGGGTATAGGGTTAGGCACCCAAAGGTGTAGTGTCCTCAGAGACGTTTGAATCTCGGCAGGGAAGTGACCCGCTGCTAGTCAGAAGGCTCTCTGCAGGCTGCTGCCGCGCCTGCTCCGGGTTCTTTCTCCCTCTGGGTAGTCTGGGCCCAGGGGCACTCTCCATTGGACGAGGGGATTTATAGGAAGGACTCTCTGGAGACTGTCGTTTTAACGGGGTTAGGGGTGGGTGTGCAGATTTCAGTACTAGAAGACGGTTTTTTTTTTTTTTTGCTGCACAACAAAGAGGGGGTGAGGATGGCGAGAAGCCCCACCTGGGAGGCAGAAACACCCAAATGGCGCCTTCCCCTGCTAAGGCTCAGGTGACACGGTGACAGATCTGAATCTTGTTGCCTGGAGGGACCCTGGTATTCGGGAAGGGCGCCCAGGGCAGTGACCCAGCCCCAGCAACGCCTCGGTTTGTTTCCAATTCCAACTCAAATTGTAGCCATACTCTCAGGAGGAATCCACATTCACCCCCATTAGGCCTCTTAGTTGGGGCCACCCTGCGCTTGCCCTGCCAGGCCCCTTGTCTGCCTGAGCTCCGGGCTTGAAGGCTGCAGGGTCAGAAGCGCCAGATCTTTTCCAGCCCGCACTCCTCCACCTGTGCCTCGGGTTCTCCAGACCAAGACGCACCTGGGCCGGGAGAAGCCGGAGGGGAGGTGTCCGGAAAGGACCCCGGCTCCCGAAAGTGGCCTAGCTCCGGCGCTTCCGCACTCGGTACTCACCTGGGGGCCGCGGTAGCAGCCCAACGGGGCGCGGAGACCGGAGCGCACCGGCCCACCCCGGAGACGGAGGTGCGGGATGCCCCGGGACGCTCGGGGCAAGACGCCTGGCCTTAGCATGGCCGCCCCCCGACGCGGGGCGCGCTGCCCTCAGCCGCCGCGCCCGACCGAGGACCGACGGGTCCAGCGCCGCTCGGCGTCCCGGGCGGTGGCAGAGCGCGGAGCTGGCGGCGCCTCGGCTGTTTGTTTTTGAGCCGCGGAGCCCGAAGCTGCAGCCACCGGGTTGGGGCGAGGGGGAGGGGCGGGGGCGGGAGGCCCGCGGGGGGCGGCGGCCGGCGGGGGCTTCGGAGGAGCCGGGTTCTGGCGCGTTGGCCCCGACACCCCCTCTGCGAGCGCGGGGTGCGGGCGGGGACCGAGGGGGAGTTCGGGAGGAGAGCGCTCTGGGGCGACGGCGAACGAAAGCTTTTTAATTAGTAATAAAACGCAATAAAACGCAGCAAAACCAGCCCGAACCCGCGTCCGAACTATCAGCGCATTTGTGGTGGGGGGTTAAATCCGAGGAAGTCGCGCAGAAAACCGCAGCGGCCAGTCTCCTCCTCGGCCCGACTTGGGCAGGAGCCGCAGCGCTGCGCGGGGCAGGGCGGGGGGGACGGTCACCTCGCCTTCAGGGCTACCTGGGTCCTTTTAAAGTGTCCAGGGTGCGGGCCCCGGGCGGGAGCGACGAGCACGGAATGTTTTCTTAAAGGGCCAGTTCCGAGCTGCACTGAAAAGGGGGGGGGGGAAGAGGGGGGGAGAGAGAGAGAGAGAGAAGTGAGGTGAAGACCGAGAAGGCATCGGAGAGCCCCCCAATCCCGCGCCGAGGCGGCGGCGGCGGCGGCGCGACGAAGACGATGATGAACACATTGCAAAGTTTTTTTGGCCCCGGCGAGGGGTGTCAGATTGAGTGCTCTGTGCGCATGTGCGAAGGTGTCCAAACTGACAATGCTAGGGAGATGAAGATAGTGTGTAGCTGCTTCTGGGCTCAAGGAGGAGGAGAGAGATTCCGCGAGCCGACACCATGCGATCCAAGGCGAGGGCGAGGAAGCTAGCCAAAAGTAAGTCTCCCGCGCTCGACCGCGCCGCGTCGCCGGGCCCGGGCCGCGGGACCGGGGTACCCGGGCCAGGGGTGCGCGTCGGGGCGCGGTCGGCGCGCCTGCGGCTCCGGCCCCCGGTCGACCGCGCGGCCCGGGGGCTGCTCCGCCTCCCGTGCTCCGGGGCGGCCGGGCTCGGCACGGAGGCTCGGGGCTCCCGGGCCGCGCGCTCCCCGAAGGCGCCGGCCCCCTCCTCGCCGAACCCCCTCCCCCCCACAGTGTCAGGCGCTCGGGCCCGGGAACCCGAGGCGCGCGGTGGGGGCCGGGGAGGGGGGCGGAGGGGGAGGGCCGGGGGTGGAGGGGAGAGAAAAGCGAAAGTTAGCGAAAAGTTGACGAAAGGGGAGAGTAACTTTTCCTCTCGCTCGCTCTCTCCCTCTCTCTCTCCGAGTGGCTCTCAGTCCTGGTCAAATCATATTCCGGGCTTTTGAAATAGTGGGCGCTAGAGCACCGCCTTTGGCGTCCGCCAGCCGGGCTCAGAGGAGGGAGACCCCGAGCCGGGGAGGGGGCGGAGGAGGGGGCGCGGGTCGGCGCCCACCCGGCTCCCCGGGAGCAAGGGCAGGGTTGGCGCAGGCAGGACGGCCGCAGCCGCTGGGGAAGCAACATGGAGACTTTTTTTTTTTCCTGAGCTCGGAACTGTGGTCACGAAGTTTATTCCCAAGTGGTGCCCCGCGTGGTGGCCGGCGCTCCTCTGTGACTCCGGCAGTTCGCTCGGGCCGCCCGGTGCCGGTGCCTCCAGCCGCTTTGCGACCCGCCGCTCTTCCTCACTTGGTCTCGCTCCGACCCTCCCGCACACGGTCTCCCTGGCACCCGGGAGGCCCAAAGGGACGAACTGCCCCGGCGAGACTGCCAGGGCTCGGGTCTTACTTTCTCTTTCGCTCCGCCTTGGGCCGAGCCTGGGGCTCTGCGAGCAGTGAGCCGCGCGGGCCGGTCCCTACCGAAACCCGCGAACTCCGGTCGTCCGCACCACCGCCACCGCGTCTCAGAGCAGCCCGCGCGCCCTCCTAGCTCGGTGGCCGGCGCCATCCGCTACGAGTCCGGGCTGGGGGCTTCGGCCCTTGCAGCCAGCAGGTGGGAACCGGCTGCACCGCAGCCATGGAAACGCGGCTTCAACAGACCTGGCCGTGGCCCGGCTACAGCGAAGCGGTGAGCGCTGTGCGCAGAGGATACGAATCGCTCATCCCTGCCGCCCCCTCGTTTACCGAGGGCCCGCGAAAGGGGCGTCCGGCAGGCTGGCTCAAGGTCCCTTCTTGATCACCAGGCCGTTCGGGCTGCCTCTCCAGGATTGGATCCTGCCTGGCTCTGCCTCGCGGCTTCCAGAGCTGAACTCTTAAAAACATGAGCCCAACGCGGGTAGGATTTACGATAGTTTTCCGAAGCCTGGCGCTTTCAGCTCCGGGACCCTGCCAAACTTGGCCCCGGATGCCTTAGGCCGCGTGCCCACCCTGCAGGGAAAAGCAACTTCCAGCCTCCACCAAGCTTCCCTGAGCTCTGCGGTTCGTGCGTGGCCCCTGGGTTAGGAGCCCCTTTCCCACCGAGCTCTGTCCGGCTGCCCTTGACCTCGGCCTCCTGGGCCACCCATGACCTCTGACCCCTCTTGGTGCGAACAGGGCTAGTAGTTTTCCCAGCGGGTACGAATGAGCTGTGTGCGAACTGCGTGACTATCCACGACGCACGGAGCGGGTGTGCTGTGTGCAGTCTGGTCTGCACCCTGGGCCTTTTAGGAGTCTTAGCCCCCTAGCTGCAGGCTGGCATGGTCAGGCTCTCTCAAGAGGAAGGACCCAGAGCTGGAAGGAGGAGAGTAAAACCACTGGGCTCCTTTTGTCGCTGCCGCCTTTCGTTGCAAGCGAGAGACTGGCTCAACGCACCCTGCACCCTGCGCGCGCGGGCCCCGGAAACTTCCCAGAGGTCCACAGCCGGTTGGTGCACTGCTTGGCCTCAGCTCCCCGCTGGCTCCAACTCCAGGTGGGGAAGGTTTACCTGGCCCGGCCTTACTTAGGGATCGGAACTGAACAGGCTACGGTCTTGAGGCCTTCCCTAGAGGACACAGCCGGTGGAAGTGCACTGTTGAGGCTCCCCTTTGCCGGGCGTCCTTAGAAACTGCCCTCGGGAAGCTTGCCCGACAGGCCCAGAGTCCCCTCCGCTTGGGTGTCACTCTGAGATCCAGTTCCAGGCTGTGTGACTGCTGTCACCAAAGCCCCCCTAAGAAGGTGGTTGAGACGGCCCGGGGATGCAAGGCCTACTGAGGACTTTTGGATCTCATTTGATAATATTTTAAGCAGATGTGGCAGGCTCCTGGAATACCTGACTCCACTACCTGGAGTAAAAGGCTGGCAAGCAGACACGCAGCAGCCAGCCCAACCCGCCTCTTGGGTCAGGGGAAGGAGCAAGGTCATGGTTATTCAGGTTTTTCTCTCTCAGGGCCCTTGAGCCATGACTGAGGCTGCACCGAGGACAGAAGGACAGCTGGGACAATGGGTGTGACCTCAGGACGCAGGGCTTGGGGGGCCTGTCCCAGGGTGTGCACCTTGAGGTGTAATTTCGTTTGTATCTATTTCTTGGTGTCCCTACTACAGACCTCTGTCTGCGTGGCTTACTCAAGCTGGGCCTTTCAGGTGTCCCACTTGTAGGGGCCCAGAGTAGAGCCTTGTGTTGAGTCTTGTAAGCATAGAGGTGTCTGAGGTGGGGGTGGGGGTAGCCCCAACGGGGGAAACTAAGCCTGAGCTGGGGCAGAGTGAAGATAGTTCAGGGAAACGGGTCCCCTTACCCAACTTGGGGCTCGCTAGTAAGGACACGAGGCTGTCCTGACCCTACATTTGAAAAACCAAAATACTTAACAGTCATAACAGTCACTTATTCCTGCCTCTGTTACGATCCAGGTGGGCAGGAGGGGGCCTGGCTGGTGCTGGTGCCGTCTGTCCTGTCCTTCCATACGCAGCACAACCAGGAAGGCTATAGCTGGGAACCCCACCAGAGCAGCACTTAGAGATGCGATTATCTGTCATGGAGATGACAGACCCTGTGGTCCCAAACACCACACATCCCACCCTGCTAGGTGTGGGACTGTGTGTGTGTGTGTGTATGCGTGTGTGTGTGTGTGTGTGTGTGTGTGTGTATGTGAGTGTTGCATGTGTTGGGATTGCCGAATTGCTAATTAGCTTAATAATTATGGGGAGCAGGTTGGGTTGAAGGACTGGGGAGGCCCAGCTCAAGGCCTATGCCCTTCCCTGTTGAGACAAGCAGAGGCCTAGGCTGTCTGGCTCTTGCCCTTCTACCCCCTCCCCAGGGAAGTGAGAGCCCAGGGGACAGTCTTTCCTCAGGGAGCCACAACAGTAGCAGGAACCTGTAGGCGGGGGAATTGATTGTCTTGCCCGCTTTAGGCGAAAGGTGGGGCCTGCCTGGTAGAGGGGCAGCGGGGTGCAGGGCTGGCGGCCAGTGCCCTGAGGCTCTGGGGTATGTGCCACAGGCCTTGCTTCTGCAACTACTGGTTGGTGTTGGAGGTGTGTGTGTGTGTGTGTGTGTGTGTGTGTGTGTGTGTGTGTGTGTGTGTGTTTGTAAAGCAGGTGCTGGTTAGTCTCCCCTCAGGGGCATAGCCCCAGGGTCTGGAGGCCTGGGAAGGACAGGTGTGGATTCCTAGTCCTGCCTTTCTCCCCTCCACCCCCCACCCCTACCTGGGCAGTGCTATTGACAGAGAACTAAGTCCCTATTCTCTTGTTTGGAGGCTAGGTAAGGGTAGCAGGCAGCTCCCTCCCCCCCCCAGGGGCCCCTGCACTGCCTCAGCTGTGACTGCTTACAGGACTTCAGTGAGGGCATGATTAGCCCTCTGTTTTATTCAATTAGGAGGCAATTAGGGGGTCCTTGGGGGAGGGGGCTGGTACTGGTAATTAAGGTTATGTATAATTAGAGTTACAACAAAATTATCCTGGATTAAAAAAAACCTTTTGAGTAATTTCGTTAAAAAATTTCAAATGCCATTAAATACAATTTATCAGATTTTTGAATCAAACCACCCCCTCCCCCAAGGCCTTGGGGGAACAGTGTTAGCACTTTCCCTCAGGAGAGAACTTCGGTGAGGTGGAGGGAGTCTCTCTTGCTCTCTCTCTCTCTCTCTCTCTCTCTCTCTCTCTCTCTCTCTCTCTCTCTCTCTCTCTCTCTCTCTCTCTCTCTCTCTCTCTCGGCTTCTGCTTGGCTGAAAGGCAGCCTGGCTCAGAGCATAGATTCCAGCAGTCGTGGGCTTCAGATCACCAATTCCCCGGCACCTGCCCAGGGATCTCTATCCAGGTGCCGTCTCCCAGAGTCTGTGGGACCAGTCATAGTAGGTATCTCCGCTGCACCGACTTAACGCCTCTGACCTAGACACCATGACAACAGTGCCTTCCTACTTGGGGGCCACCTTCAGGCTTCCTGGGTGTTCCTGCCTGGAGTTTCCAGACTCTTCCACCTGGCCCAGAAACTCCCAGTACAAGGTCTCTCCCCTTTAGTGTCCAGCCTGCATTCTAGACGACTGCATACAGGTGTGCCCACCCACCCCAGGGTTTGAACTGGGGAGCAGGGGCAGGGGGGGGGGAGACCTGTCAGGTTAAACAAGGGGGAGGGTAGAGGGTAGCCTGCATTGTGAGTTGCTCTGCCTCTCTGTTCTGTGTGGCACCAGCTTGGGAATAGATCCTCAAAGTGCCTTTGGGTGCCCGTCCACCCTCCTGGGTTAGGTGTGAGCCGGCATTCCCTTCGCTCGCCCGGGGAAGGAAAGGAGAGGGTGTGGAACAGTAGGATGCCTCCAGAGGAAAGGGACCCCAAGTAGGTGCCCTTGCTCAACACCGTTGCAAGTTCCACACCTTCAGGGTTTCTCAGTGTGGCACTGAGACTAGAGCCAATTCCATGGCGTTTTAAAATAACTAATTTCTTTAACGTGCCAGGGTTAAAGCAGTTCCAGACCAAAGGCTTACAGTGGTCTGTTCTTAAAGTAGATCCCATGCATTATAACCCCGTGAATGCAGCCATCAGAGTTATCCCCCCCCCTTGACTACAGATTGGAATCCTATTTACTCAGGACTGGACTCTCCCCCTCCAGGGAGTGATTGCACAGCTTGCCCTCACCTGGCGGTGGGTACCCTCTCCAAGGGCAGATGCTAGGTTGACCAGGGATGACCTTGCCCACCCCCCTCCTCGCCTTCTGCCCAGCACAGTACGGGAACCTTGCATGGAGGTGTAGGAATGCCTGCTTACCCCACCCTCAACCTTTCCAGGGGATCCACCTTGTCTCCCTCAGGTCATTAGGGAGATGCCCGTACTCCATTGTGCTCCTGCTGCTGACACCAGTAGACCTCAGCTGCAGGATTAGAGCAAGGTCTTTGAGATGGGCTGTTGTTCCTTAAGGCTGGGACCTCCTCCTGGACAGAGCCACTGCGACCCTTCTGGGCTCAGAGTGCCCTTAGCTTTAGTGGTCCTGAAGCAAGGGAAGGGTGTAGTCTCCTGTTCTGATCACTCCCCATTCTTAGATCCTTTGCTCCCTGGAGGTGCCTCTCATGAGGAAGAGGGACAATACTCCCCGAGCAAGCTGGAGATAGGAGTGCCAGCCACTTGAGATACATATTTGTTCAATAGTTAACATTTTGTGTCAAAAAAGAAAAAGAGGGAGGGAAGGCAGATTCTGGTGAAGGCTTTGCTTATTTTATATCCACTATAACTATTTCTGTCCATGAAAATTGGCTTAATTATATCAATGGAATGTTTCTTTTTCAATTCTGTATGCAATTAGTCCATCTTGCCGGCTGCAATTTATTTTAATAAAAAAATAAACCAGTGGTGTGTTCAGTTCCTCGTCCCCTGGGGACAAATGCGATTGGTGTGTTTAATTTCATTAAGTACAATGTGGCCTACTGGAAAAAATGTCTGAAATCAGCTCTATGCGGCTTAAACACTGGCATTTGAAACAAATCATTATTGCATTAGCTGTCATACTGGTAATTCTAGAATCTAAAGAAAAAAATATATTATGGCTGTTTTTATAACCCTTTGCAAATGCCCTGTTAAAATAATTTATAATCATTTTAAAACATGGCTGGTCCTGGTGAATATTTCATCTCGTCTAAATACGGTTCTGCATTCTCCCGTGCACACTCACACATTTCCAACCCCCAAGTGCTCATCCCTCAGTGCTAAAGCAGTTCACGCCTGCGTTCAGACAAACCCCATGGAGGACAGGATCTCTTTTCTCTCCCCGGCCTGAACCCCACAGTTGAGAGTATGTGATGTGAGGCACAAAGTTATTGGGAACCTAGTGCAGCCAGAGGGCATTCCATGGGGGCGTTAGCTCATCCCGCCTTCTGGCTCAGGTGGGAAAAAAAATCAGTGCACATCTATGTAGGCCTTTATAGGTACGGGAACAAAACTGTCCACATCCTGTTTCTGAGTGCAGCAAGCAGGGATGCTCTTGTTCACGCTGGATTCCTGTTTGGGAGAGCAAAAATAGAAAAAAAGAAAAGAAATGAAAAAAGAAAAGGCACTTGGTGAAGGGTAGCATGATGCCCAGTCAGTTGGGAAATACGTGCATCCAAAAAAAAAAAATAGGGCTTGCTCTGGGGCAGTGCTCTGTGGGGCGTTGCGTGTGCCCGTGTGTGTGTTCACGTATGTGTGCTGGATCTACATTGCCCATGGAAGTCCTGGACTTGTCCGAGGTGAGTTTGTAGTGACTGAGAGCAGTGATGAGTGTGACACTGACTCCTTATTTCCACCGGTGTGCCTTGAAGCAGAACCAGAGGGTCTGGATGGAGGGAGTGGGTGGTGAGCTGCGGGGCGGGGCACGGGTGGGTGGTTCTTCGGGGGGCCTTGCTTCTCCCGGCTTCTGACTTAATGCTCCCAGGTGGTCTGAGAGTGTGGCTGGAAGCCCCTTCTGAG